CCATATATGGAGGTCTCGTTATAGAATTTCGCCACAAGCTCGATGGGAAGTTTTTAAAAGTGGGCCGGTTTGTATTTGATTTTAGCATGTGTACCATTTTATCTGAAGAAGTTCACTTCAAAAGTCTTGGATATTTTATCTGTTCATCCATCATATATTGCTAAAAAATGACAATACACTGTGAATTTTTAGAAAAAATTATTTTCCTCGATTTTTGTTTATTGATAAGAGTAGTTTAGAGCATTATCCATTACTATTAGGCCATTACCCGATCTCTATTGTCCTCTTTTTACTTTTTACTTTTCCAGAGTTATTACCCGTATAAAGAATTTAACATTTTCACTTTTAATACTCGTATTGTACACGTACGTACATATTTTTCATGTTTAATACTCTTGTTTTTTACAAAATTTTCAATAATACACACAAAATTCATGTATTATACACATAATTTTCACACATTATTGAATAAAAATAATATATATTAAAAAATTTAACTAAATCATATTAAAATATTATATAGTGGTTGAACTTATGAGTTGTAATTTGGCAAAATATTGACGAATAAAACACGTCCGTATTTTATTCATATTTTTCTCGTTCTGTATTTTACTAACTACGAAAGAATGTGAGAGGCTAAGATTATTTCTTACTTGTTATAACAAAAATGCAAGATGGTGATTTTGCAGTCTCTTTGCCAACTAGAACAACAATTTCAAACAAATATTTATGGGTGTAGTAGTAAGCAAGGTAATAGTATTCTTCATGTAAAGTGTTGTTTGAAATCTAAAGCAATTACTAAGAACACTCCAACTCAACATGCAATTCTCTACAACAAATAATGTGTGCAATAGCATAATTTAGTAGCACTCGAGAGAACGAGGTAGACCAAAGACAAACATTCCCACACAAAAATAAGAAGAAAAAATTGAACTCTCAAATTGATTTACTGTGAAATTTCTCTCTCTTCAATATATGCTTTGAAGATGATAAAACTAGCAAATAAATATAAATAAAGTATAAATTAATGCAACTAGAAGTGTACTTTTCTTTTAATTTTTTTAAAATCAGTAGTATAGCCTTGCGGCTCTACTCCTATGAGTATAATATGCTTAAAGTGTATAGCCGGTCGGCTATACTAGGGTTTTTTTAGTATGTAAAAATCGTATAGCCGCGCGGCTATACTTTGTTGACACGTGGGCATCGAAACGACAGACAGGTCCTTTTAAAAAAAATATATATAAATAGTATAGCCGCCCGGCTATAATTGGGAATTTTAGTATAGCCGCACGGCTCTATTGGAGTTTTTTTTATAAAATAAATAGTATCGCCGTTCGGCTATACGCCTTCTAAATATAATATACTTAACGAGTACGGCTATACTATTGGTTTTTTTTATTTAAAAAGGTATAGTGTAGCCGGGCGGCTGTACTCTTTTTGAATATAATATACTTAACAAGTATAGGCACCCGGCGATACTATTTATTTTACACGTAGGCGCTATGCGGGTCCCTTTTTTTTAAATAGTATATCCGAGCGGCTATATGCGGGCTTTTTTGTATATAAAAAGAGTAGCCGCTCGGCTTTACGGGGTCTTTTTATTTATTTATAAATAGGCTTGTAATTATTATCCCAAGATGTTCCGTTAGATTGCACATGACTTCGCCGGATATTGTACCAACTTTTTCCTGGAAAGCAATGACCACGTCGTTGAACCCTTTGCAGAGGAATATTGAAGCTTTGGCAGAAGATGGGAGCACGTGGGAGACAAAAGCCATGCAAACTTGGCTGGCTTTCTGACTTCATAGTTGGCCTCATAATTTGACTAGCTGGCCTTCACCCGTTGGCTTCTCTATAAATTGATAAGCATGGCAACAGCTGAAGTAGTGGAGTAGAGGGAGAGAAACAGCAAGAAGCCATTCGGCAGAGAGAAGAAAATTCTCTCAAGTTGTCTTTGCTTTGTATTTTCAGTTTCTCTTCCTATTGTAAATGTGTGAGCTTGGGTTATTTGGGTCTTTGGGAAATTGAGTGATAAACACTGTTGTATGTTCTCATTGATTATAGTGGAATACTCCGTCGTCTCCAAACTGGATGTAGGCATTGCCGAACCAGTATAAATCTTGGTGTTCTTGTTGGTGTTGTTTGTGTTCATTTTATCTCCTGCTAGTTGTGTTTATTTTCACTCGCACTTGGTTGACGCTTCCGCACAACACGCCCCACCCCAAAGCCTTGTTCAAAGAGAAGTTGAATCCAAATCAATTAACATTTTGGTTAGGTTAGGTAACAATTAATTCACGTACAAATAGAAATGGTAGACTTTGTAGGAGGAGGATTAGGATTCCCATGGCATATATTAAAACTTGACCTAAATTGAATTCAGGCATCAACTTAACCAATTTAAAATCCTAAAAGAAAAAGGAACATTGCTAGTCAATTAGTTAGTCATCTTTATTTATTGTTTTGCTGAGATGGCCCCGCCTCATTAGGCCCGAAAGAAGCCTGAGCAGACCCCAACCCGACAATTCCCAAATGAAACAAGGGCTGAAAGCTTGACTCTATATTACATTGAATTCGATAATCTCTAATCTCAGATAATCAACACATTTATGCAGAACCTAAGTGTAGGCGTTCTCTTATCTCATCGAATTCGAACGCGTGACTGTATATTACAAGATGCAGTCATGGCCAACCAGAACGAAGAATGATGAATCTCCCCCGCTACTTAAGCTATTGCTATACATTGTTTTTAGTGAATATGCATGCCTAGCTCGTCTCAGATGCATATATCATTCATGTATGAATCCTGAAACCCATGTCATGGCTTCTTGGCAGTGACCCAACCTCATAAATAGCCACAAAATACATTGGGGGATGGTTCATGTGGCAGTCATGTTTTTACCTGTATCTATAAGGCATTTGTTCGAGAGATTGGTTATCGAGTCTGCTATAACTCTGGCACTAGACTTCATGTAACCACCTGAAACATAAAAGGGGTGGATTAAATTTGAAGAAAGCTAAGATTCTATGCAATCTATCTAGCAACAATAAGTCATCTGGAATTCGCAAAACATCCGACTGGCATGAAAACCCAAGAACCTAGTGTGGTAAACCACTTTAACATTGCAAAGGTGGGTAAATTTCTTGTATTATTGATCCACTTATCATAACTGGCTAGTGTAATAAGACTACACGATCCTAGAAACCAGTGAAAATTAAAGAGGCAAAAATGAGACAGAGGGAGAGAGCACCTGATGTGAGCATGACAATAGGAATGTTCCTCTTACGAGCAAACCTGAAAACTTTCTCGTCTCTATTTGTTATCCCATCAGGACTGATCTACACAAGTCAACATAAACACACCTCAACAGAAAACCGGTGAAGGAAATATCTCCGCTTGCATTTCAAGATTATGAGACCTACTCCTTCAACATAAAGAGTGGAACTAAAAAGAATGGAGGCAAGTGATATTCTCTTTGACCAAAAAGATCAATGAACGATATTACCTTCAACCTGCCCAGAGGATCTCCATCTAGAATATCAGTTCCAGCATTGTAGACTATCAACTCAGGATCAAAACTATGAACAGAAACCTAACATACACATAAACACGGTCTAGTTCACGTGGTATGGTACACAAAAATTGGCGAACGGTTATTTTTTATAAGCAAAAAATGATTACTAATTTCCTAAATATTAATTCTAACAATAATACAACTAATACTAATTACTAATATGAGCTGTTTATGGTTTATTATTTTCATCACTATTCCAGAGAGGAAACAGCAGCACATTACTTGCTAGTGACATTCAATGGAGCAAATTAATCAGCAGCAAATGAGAGTTAAGCATACATATCTGAGACAAAGTTAAGTGTATACCTCAAGTGCTTCATCTAATTTTCTCAAGTACTCATTTGTTGTAGTTCCACTCTGTTTAAATTCAAGAAAAAGGATTACATTACACAAGTTCAAAGTATGAAACAACTACAATCTGATATGACAATGGGAATTTGGGATGACTCACCACTACTTCAACCTTTTGATCAATGTATCTCCTTGCTTCATAATCCTAAAGAAGATCAAATGAAGGCGGAGTTAGATCCTTGGTTTATGTTAGAGTCCTGCTCTCATAGACAGCAGTACAGCAGGCAACTTTGGTGCGAAAAACTTGCATCTCAAAACAGAACAAGAGCAGGCATCTTACAAATGGATATATTCCAGGGTTGTACATATCCAGTGTATAGACTCGACCTGTTAAAAAAAAAAAGTTATTCGAATTCCAGAAGAGAGTCAAGTTAAAGTTTAAATCACCCTATGACTATGAGGACGATCAGGTAACCGTACAGTCATTGGCAAAATCCGTTTCATGGCCATTTCCTTGATGTGCATCAAGATCAATAATCATCACCCTGTATTGGCAAATAATGAGTGATCATATCCATACTTGAAAGTAGTTTTTTTCTTTCTTTTATTACTATTGAAATTTCAAAACCTATCCTATAATACAACTATTTCAATTGAGGTGAAAATGTTACTACCTTGATATGTTTAACCGCTCAAAGGCAAAGTGTATGCAAAGAGAAATATCTGCATAAGCACAGAATCCCCCTCCTTTTTCCCCGGAGCAATGATGAAACCCTCCCCCCACGTTGATGGCCCATCCTCGCTCTTTTGCAAGCTTTGCAGCTAAGATAGTTCCCCCCACCTGCAATGGAAAATGATCAGTGCAAACCTCTTTGGTTTGTTTTTCTTTTCCTCTTTGGCAACACGACTGAAAACTTAAAACGCAACACGGGTTATCAGTTACCTGGTTGCGAAATGGATAGAGAACTTTCTGCTGCACTAGGCAATTAGGGAATACGGCAACAGGAGGTACCTTAATCATCGTAGCCCAAATATGTCATAATCTTCATAGCATATATGGAACTAACAAAGCTCGGCCAGAACCATTAATCCAGATCAGAAGCACTCAGTTCATTTCGGAGTATACAAACCAAGAATGTCCTATCAAACCAAAGTCAAGTTTGTGGTCTATTAACATTACCTCAATTATCATAGCAACATTTGCACTTTTCTTTAGACAATTCAAGTATGCTTCCGAGTGTACCTGCTCAAAGCTACATATGGTAAGCAATCTAAGTGCTATATTACTAATAAGCATTTATACAGCAAACAAGTAACCAACCACACAGCTATATAAACAAACCAAAGGGACAAGAAAATACCACAAGGAGATCATTCTTTGAAGCTTCCAGAGGCTCTACGATGCAATTTTTGTCCACAACATTATCCACCAACAGAAACCCACATATCCGACCCCATTTACTCGAATCAAACGGGTGCCTAAAAAACCAATTACACTTAAAAATTTGAACATATTTTAAAAAAAAAAAGTAAAAATGAAAGAACTGCAAATTCATCTCTTACAGCTTCTCAATGCCAAGAAAAGTAATATCGTATGCAGACGAGTAAATCAACGGCACCTGATTGATTGATAAAAAACTCAGAATCCAAAACCAAAAAAATTCAAAACACAAATGAAATTAATATATAAGTTTACCTTGGAGTTGGGGATGTCGAAGTAGAGCTTGCTGGAGAGAATACGACTGCGCCTACGAGCTTGGACGCCGGTGCCGTTGTCAGATGAAGAAGACGACGACATCGTTCCAGAGCGAGCTCTTGACCGGCGGCGGAGGTTGTAGCGATAGAGAGACTGAGATAGTTTGACGGTGGCAGCGAAAGTGATGACTAAAACGATGACTGGTTTGAAGAGATTCCGAGTCGACTCGGTCCAACTCGGCACGACTGGGTTCTTCATATTCGTAATAGTTAAATGAGATAAATTCAAATGAGAGAAAAATGTTAAGAGCCTCTGAGGCACGTTGAGACCGTTCGATTGATCGGACGGTCGGGAGATGAGAAATTTGGCGCTATTTGTCAGCCAGATGCGGATAAGACTAATATGCTGCTGCTGTTCTGCTGACGTACATTTGTGACAGATAATCTGATACCTGTCGTTTGACTCGTTTCTTACGCTAATACGACAACGTGTCATTTGGCCCTTGGGTTGAGAAGGAGAGAAACTTGGGTGGACTGGGTTAAGCAAAGCAAAAGTCTAAAAACAAATGCTCAGCCCATTCAGTTTCTATAGACTCGAGCCCTTTTACTCTGGCCATTATGGCCCTTGTTCTTTTTGTTTTGGTCAAGATTATGGGGCTTGTTCAGCTGTTTGTGTTTATTTTACTCTTTTTTTTTTTACCCCTTTACGTAAAAAGACTATATAATATAAGGAAAATATAATTTATCAGTTTTTTTTGTTGGAATAATTTATCTTTTTTTTTTGTGGTGTGGAAAAGATACTTTATTAAAAAATAATAAGCATTGTAAGAGAGTACAAAAAATGGCACTAAAACAGTCAATACGATCCAAAACCCAAACATGAGAGACAATAACAAATTCGTGATCTTAAAAAAGACTCGTGCTTGAACAACTTGAAAACAACAAGAAAAGAGAAAGAAGAGGAAGCATGAACACCCCTTCGATCTGCACATGGAAACCACAATGCCACCAACAGAAATCATCACCATGAGGGACAAAAAGACCCCAGTGGAGTCAAGTGATGGAGCAATAGTGGTCTCGTTAAAACCTTGCCTTAAAAACTTCCAAATGGAGGAAAATCCGGTTAAGAAAAAAAATTACCACTGTAAAGCTTGCTCATCAATAACAACCAACACGCAAAACTTGGGCAAGTGGACAATGAATAAATGTTGCACAAAGCGGCCCAACAAAGCTCAGCCCATGGACAAGTCGCTAGACCAACTGTAAAGAACACCAACTACTACTGCATCCTGTCTTGTAACTGCTTCGCTACGAAATGTGGCAATTATGGTTCTCCAAGATTGACGAACAAATGAATGATCCTTGCAACCAACATCACAAACAAAAAGAAAATTTCATTAGGATGCTAAACAAGAGTGGCCAAAACTAAAACTCAGAAAAAGATAAAATAAAATAAAATAAGCAGAAAATAAAATAACAAGCACTTTAACAGAATCAAGAACAAGTAGATGAAGTAAATAACACCATAGACAAAAATGAATAGAAAAAACAGAAAGAAAAATAAAAGCATAAACAAAAGACACTTGGAAAAAGGAAAGCAGAGAAAGAAAAACTACTCCTTGAAAGTGTAAAGTTGTAAGAAAAAACTAACAAAACTGCTCCAACTCTAGGTGCTCTCTAGACAACAAGAAGTTCAAGATCTAACGCCCCTTGATCCATCCGTCTCCATCTATATTGAAATTAACCTTCTCCGCAAGGGGGCTTGTAGTTGAAGTAGTTAAAAGTAGTCACTCATGCATTAGAGATGATGTGTTCGAATCCCTTCTCTCCCAATATAGCTTGTATAAATATAAATATATATATTCTTTAAAAGACATTTTCGGTATATATTGTCACTAATCGATTGAATATTGGAGCACGTTTTATCAAAGATTAGATTTAGATACAAGCCACATCACAAAATGTTAGGGCCCGTCTGGTAACATTTTCATAAAATGAAAATGAGAAAACGAATTTGCATTTTCAAGATTCGAGAATTCGTTTGGTAGCATAATATAAAAACAATAAAAACGTGTCTAATAGTGATTTCAAAAATACAAGAATAATAAATATAAATGTATCAATAATGTTTGGAACTATTCTTACCTAAATTATTTATATAAGCCTATTAATAAATTAACATATTATTCTGAGAAGAAAAACGATTTAAATGATATTTTTATTTTTAATTTGGTTGATGAAAAATTTTCAGTCCGCATTGTGCACAAACATTTAGCCAAAGTAAAAGTTAGTCCAAAAGTTTTGTTTTGTTTTTTTGTTGTTGCTAAAATTAAGAAAGGGAAGGGGAAACTCACACAAGTATCATTGGGACTTAAATCCAGGATGCCCCCACTATTTAGAAAAAAAATAATTATGATTCTCTCTAAACCCAATAAACTATTATCCTAAGTTTATACCTTTATCTAAACCCAATAAACTATTATCCTAAGTTTATACCTTTCGACAAGGGATTTATAGCTCAAATAGTCATCCTTGCACGTTGCATCTAATGTCTTATGATTTCCATAAATAAAAGAAGTTCAAACCTTTCAAGATTGTTTTTATGCACGTATTTGTCTATAGGAGACTGTAAATTTTGTGTATATTTTGGCATTGAAATGAAAGGGTGGGAGGAGGAGGTGTTGACAAGGACAAGCTAACAACTTTATTAATAACGGCGTTGACACTTTGACACGAATTCAGGGAGTCTAGTGAGGGAGTCGCACACTGACAGACTGTAGTCTTATTAAACATAATGAAAGAAACAACATAAAAAACAACAGAGGAAGAAAGAGGACCGCACACAACATGATGTGTTGGATTTATCACATGATGCTGTTGTTGTTCATCTCCATCCATCCATCTACTATCTAATCAGACAGTGATTGATGGGAAGCCCCCATTGTATCTTCGGGTTTATTTTTGCTCATCACTTTAATATAAGGTGCTCTCACCACCCATCTCAATATTTGACATATGTCTCTTGGCATAACTATAGTTAACTCTTTACTTTGTATTTATGCAATTATGATTATGTCAATAGACACGTGTCAAATATTGAGATGGATAGTAAAAATACACCTTAGATTAAAGTGTTGAGCAAAAATACCCTCTTGCTTGCCATTCTCCATTATTATAAATTAAATTACATATATATTAGCGTAAAGCACAAGATTTTAGCTTAAATGGGTCAGCTTTGGATTTACTAATTTACTAGGTTAGTAGCATTTATATAGTAGACTAAAGAATACTACTACCATTTTAAAATCTAATTGGGAAGGGAACAATGACTTTTGGATTTTTATTTTATTTTATTGAGATTGTACCTTTTATAATGTACTCTAATAACATAATATGTAAACTTATTCTATCACGTGTTAAGGGATTTCTTGGTCACCTACAATAGAATGGACTCGAATTCTAACTTATTTTTTCACTCAACTCTCATCACTTAAATTAATCTTTTATCTAAGAAAATACATATTGATCTTTGATTTCATAATTACTAATATTATATCAACGAACAATATGATATAATATGTTATTAGACTGTAAATCAAAGATTCACATTTTATTTAATAAACAGTATATAATTTATAGTTTGACAATATAAGATTTTTTTTTTCATGGTAAATATTTTTATGGAGGGTCCTGGTGGTCTTGTCTTTTTATGTGTGTTGCTTGCAAGATGAGCCAATTTGTGTCTCAGGCTACGGTGGGAGGGAGAAACACTTGCATGAAATGGGGATAACACTATTTCCGACCAATAATGCTATGACATGCGTGATAACTTTTCTACATTGTGTAGTGTTATTGGCCGGTAATAGCAAAATAGTGCTATCCCCGTTGAAACAAAATTTTTCTCGAGGACACCAAAAGCCATCTAACTAACACAACATTAATCACTCCAAAAGCCTTTAGTAACCAAAAGTAGTGATAAAAAAGAAAAGGTAAAAGTAAAATTACGTACGGGGAAGAAAGTAAATTAGAGGAAAAACTATAGAACATAAAAGAGGACTATAGGAAGTGGGTGTGACAATCTTAGACGAAGGTTGATCCACTTCTATCTAAGACCAAAGGCTCATCCATCAACAGAGCATTCCCTAAATCCATGTTTTTACTATTTATGCAAAGTTTTTTTTTCCTTCATAAACTAAGCTACTTGCATGTGATATGAGGAAAGAGTTGAGGAAGAGTTGTATGGTGGGGTTGGTGTTGATAGTGATATGAGTTTGAAGGAGAAAAAGAGAGGTTCATGCTTTCTCTCCACTTAGCCTATTTCGAAGATAACAACAATAAAATTTTGAGATATTTAGTCATATACCCATTTTTAGCACTAAAACTATAAATATACCCTTACACCATTTAATTTCTATAAACAAACACAAAAAAAAACCCAAAAAATGATAGATGACCCTATTAAATTTAATTTTGATTATTAAATTATTTTGATGCCCTATTGAGTGTTTTGGGCTTTTTTTTATGAAGTTTTGGGATTGAGTTTGTTTTAAAAAATCAATGACAGTTTTAGAATTTAAAAGAAGTAAAAAGCCTTTTTATTATGTTGTAAATAAGCTTTGGATGTGTTTCTAAAGTCCATTTCATATAGAGTTTTTTATTTATAATTTAGGCTTCTGTTTTGAGTATAATAGTGAATCTCCTTAGAATTTTATAGAAAAAGGGAGATGTACCAGAACTATCTTTGCTTCAACCAATCTAACAAATCAAAAGAAAGAGAACCCTACAATAGGCGAGCTGTACCAAAAGAGTTCTCTCAAAACAAAAGAGTTTCGAAATTCTCAAAGCACACTGTTTGAAAATGATATTATATTGTCCAAAAACACATTATCGCTATTTGTTGTCACTAATCAATCAAATATTGAAACATGTACGATTTATCTATCAAGGATTGAATTTAGATACAAGTGGCGTCACAAGATTATAGAGTCCAAGCCGTAACCATTCTATCTTGATAGGTGAAAGTGGCTTAGCTATGATCCAGTTTCAGGGATTACGATTAGAGTAGACATCAAGAAACCTAATAATTTGTATAATTTGTTTTTTTTTCCCTTCAAGTTGAGTATGGTAGCTCTTTTACGTCTCCAATCTTGCTTGGCCAAAAAAGTCAAGAAATAAAAACGATAAGAATACATTATTTGAAATTCATTTTTCTAATCCTGCTTGGCCCAAAAAGTCAAGAAAGGCAAACGACAAGAATACATTATTTGAAATTCATTTTCCTACGAATGTTTTTTTCTCGAAATATTTGACATTAAAACTATATATGGAGGTGTTTTTTTTTTTTGGGTCAGAAAAAAACTATATATGGAGTTACATTAACAAATGTAGTCAGGCACAACCCTAGGCCACACGCTATATTAGGTCATCCTATAAACTGAGTTATACAAATATGGGCAAAATGTTTCATGTGTCTGACAGAAAGGTCCATGTGTCTGATAGAAATGTCTATGTGTCCAAATCTATAACCTATTATATATATATAGCTTCCATTGAAATTCTCGAAGCATGCTATTTGAAAATGATATCGAACGAACTCTTTAAAAATGATATTATATTCTCCAAAAACACATTATCACTATTTATTGTCACTAATCGATCAAATATTGGAGCACGTACATTTTATCAAAGATTGGATATGGATAGATACAAGCCTCACAAAATTCTAGAGTCCAAGCCGTAATCATTCTATCTTGACTAGAGTAGACATCAGGGGTTAGGATTAGAGTAGACATCAATAAACCCAATAAATTGTATAATTTGTTTTTTTCCCTTCAAGTTGAGTATGGTAGCTCTTTTACGTTTCTAATCCTGCTTGGCCCAAAAAGTCAAGAAAGGCAAACGACAAGAATACATTATTTGAAATTCATTTTCCTACGAATGTTTTTTTCTCGAAATATTTGACATTAAAACTATATATGGAGGTGTTTTTTTTTTTTGGTCAGAAAAAAACTATATATGGAGTTACATTAACAAATGTAGGCAAGCACAACCCTAGGACACACGTTATATTAGGCCATTCTATAAACTGAGTTATACAAATATGGGCAAAAAGTTTCATGTGCTTGGAAAAAAGGTCTATGTGTCCAAATCTATAATTTATTATATATATATAGGGAAATTCTCCTATGCGGACATTCAGATATTATTATTGTGCGGACGCTGTGTATTTTGTATTACCCATCCTTACTTTCCTCTTTGTTTACTATAGCGTCCATACAATAATAACATCTGAATAATATCTCGTGTTAGAGTAGTAATTTTGGATGTAATATCTTCCTCTTTCTCTATCTTTCATCAAATTTTAGGAGGGCATTGACATTTTTGGAATCTTGGAAAATCCATGTGGTTGCTTAACAATCTTAATAATTGTTTGCCAATAATTAAGAACAACAATCTTAAAGTTTAGTACTAGGAATCGATACAAAGTCTACTTCAAAAATCTAGTTTCGCTTGAGAATTTATATCCATTTGAATAAGACCACGATGGTTTCATAACAACCACAATCAAGTAATCATATTGATTATCAAATATTATCTCTCGTCATAATAATAATAATAATATTGTCAATTTGTCAAATACTATGAACGTCTTAGGAACACAAGGTTAGGACCAAACACCATGGCCTAATCATACTTTAGCTAGAATCAATCTTTGAATCTGAATTAGACTTGTTACTTGAATCTTTATAACCCAGAATTGAATTGTTATGGTGATTCGAATGCCCTAGTCTCAAAATCTGTTTTCCAACTCTTAAAACCACTCTTTGTTACATTTGTTTACTTGTTTTTGTTTGCAATTTCATTTTGCTTCTTTTGTTCAACAATCACAACCACTCTTGTTTTAAATTCTGTTTTAGACATAACCTCCTACTTTCTTGAATTTGGTAATCTAAGTACATAACTAGTTTTAACTTCTCAGTCTTCGTGGGTACGACCTCGTACTTGTCTTGCTATACTACTAATTGCCCCGTACAGTGTGCTAATCATATGCCCATTAAACTATTAAACAACAATCCTAGGCTATAATATATTAATTTATTTAGTTGCCTTTCGACCCGAAAAATTAACAAAAATAGTTGCCTTTCTAAGATAAAGAAAGAACAATAAATTAAACAAACCTGGGTGCCTTCCTAAGATGAAGAAAACTGATGTGATCGGCTGAATTGGTAAACTTCAGGAGTTTCACAAGTGAAAGTGTGTATGGTTATTGGAAATAATTAATTCCTCCAATAAATTAGTATCACATTAAAAATAAAAACGATCAATAAACCTTAGTGTAAAAGTGACTGTATTTCTTACACTCGAGTTCGATCATCTCATTGATTAAAATAGAGTAAGTTAGAGCATCTCCAAGGAAGATGTCAAATGCAAAGAGAATAAATGATAGTGAGGTCCATAACTAAAATAATATTAAAATAATATTTGACATCAAGCTTTTTTATATGTTATTTTTGACATATCTCTTCCAGCATTCAAATTTATGTAGAATTTGACTACTCGGTTGGAACAATTTTAACCTTCAATTTTTGCCATTTCATATCCATATATGTGGCAATTTGACATATCGATTGGAGATGCTCTTAGACATTCACTTATATCAAAAAGATAATTCAAAGTTTGAATATCTCATCCTATGTTGATTAAAACAAATAAAAAACTTGAAGGAGGCCTCACATTTCACTTGTTTATGTTGCTTGTTTAGTGTCTATGATTGGATTGGATTGAATGAGTCACGAAATATAAGGAGGAAATAAAAGTAAAAGTGAATGACATGTTGTCCACCTAAAAACATATTCACAAATACCAACTAGTTATTAGTTTACTAGTATTTACCTTGGAAAAGTTTCAAGTTTAAATCCTCCAATGATGAATATATATATATATATATATATTCATAATTTTTCTGATTTTCTTTCGCATCAATTGTAGCCGCACAATGTTCCGAATTTTTTTGAGCTTAATCTACATTTTCATACGATGATTAAAAACATTAGTTCTTTTTCTCATTGATATTTGACAAAATGTGGAACCAAACTTGAAATATGATTGAGCATTATGGAAGAAAAATATTACCACAAGAATTAATAAGATGACTCTATATTTTTCGTAGGCTCAGACCCACTCGGAGGTACGACGGGCTCCACCAAGCGAGGTGTCGTGCCTTGACTTGACAAGGGTGCGCTTAGGTCACTGTCGCGTCATACGGAAGCTCAAGGTCAAGGACAAGGGCTACATCATGCTGGTCCATTTATTTATGGACAACGCTTGGCTCCTGTTCCTCCTCAACAGCTAACGTGGCTTCTTTACAAAACAACACGTGTTGTTGGTGGTGTTGTTGTTTTTTTTCTTTTAAATTTTCAACTTCTTTAACTCAAATCTTTTGCTGTTTTTTTAACTTGGGTAAGTTAAGGAGGAAGAGACGAAGGCAGGGGAGGGTGACTTGCTGTTTTTTTTCTTTAAAAAAAAAAGAAGATTTTTCATGGTTGTTGAAGAAAGGAGGAGGAGAGGGAGAGGGAGAGGGAGAAGGAGGAGAAAACTTACATGCTAAATAGAGGTGAAACCAAAAAATTTGCCCGTGCCATTCTAGCCACACCAAGTCAGGCAAAACTGGGGGAAAAAAAAAGGCCAGAGACACCATAATAAGCCAGCCAAAATGGAAATAAAATAAAGGTCTATCTTCAGTTGATATGAGGATCGTGGGAAAAAAAATTGGAAAAAAGGTGGTCTTTATTTCACCCAAATTCCTAAATTATAAGAATGAAAAAGAAAGAAAGAAAAAACAGCCGGAGAGAAGAAGAAAGAAGAAGAAAGAAGAAGAGGAAAAGAAAGAAATGGCTAGAGGGTGATAACTAGCTGGCGGAGAAAGGAAGAAGAACGTTTTAATATTTTTACTATTTTAATCTATATATTATATCTATTTCTTATAATAGTATTACATATTAGTAGCCTACCCAAGCCCAAGCACAAGGCACCGCCCCTGCCTTCGTCTCTTCCTCCTTAAAACTAACCCAAGTTAAAGAAAAAACCAACAAAAAAACTAGAGTTAAAGGAGCTGGAAGAACACAAAGAAAAGATACACGTGTTGTTTTGTAAAGAAGCCACATTAGCTGTTGAGGAGGAATGGCTCCTGATAAGCATTGTCCATTGATTCATATATAAAACTGAAGCTTTGTGGTCGACTTCTTCTCGCGGTCTCGTGCGCCCTCTTCTCTGTCCGTCTCTGAAAGCAAATGTATAATCCACGCCAACAACGCAGCGATAGAGAAGAAGCCTCACGAAGCTCTCTGTTGCAGACGCGGACATATTTCATCGAAAAGCACAAAGCAACAAAGCGCGAGAAGTAGCAGCCTCGATCTGATGAGTTGTTGCAGACAACAATGGATTTCTCGGTATTAAAAAAAAAGGCCGAATTTTCATTTCCCATTGTTTATGCTTAATTTTGATTTTCCGATGAATTAAGCAGCATTAATCGTATTTTATTTTTGTAATTTTCTGGGGTTGAGCAGAGATCGAGTTCTTTAACATTGGGCGAGCGGATCTGCGCGGCATTTATACCATTTATAGCGATTATAGAGGTGTTGGTTTTTGCTGTGACCGATTGCTTCAGCTACCGTCCGCGCCAAACCAAATGCCGTTTTGCTTTCGGCGATATGTCTGTCCTGGCCGATGAAACAAGATGTATGTAATATTTTTTTTTAAAAAAATATTCAGAAGATTAAGAAAACTATATTTATGCAGAACTTCGAATTGTGAATTATTTCCTTTTGCTTTGGGGATTTTGGAAAAAGAGAAGAAGAAAGAAATGAATAGTTAATGAGAAATTTTGAATGCTGTTTGTGCTGCTTACTTGCATGAATTGATGATGCAGTTACTGTTAATGAGCTGGAGGCATTGTATGAGCTGTTTAAGAAGCTGAGTAGTTCAATTATCGACGACGGATCGATTCATAAGGTCAGCCAAATTTCTCTGAATCATTCAAATTCAATTTTGAAGAAATGTGCTGTTTCTTTCTAGTTTCATGCATTGTAATAATTATTTGGATGATGATTGTGTTGCAGGAAGAGCTTCAATTAGCACTATTCAGAACTCCCTATAGTGAAAATCTTTTCCTGGACAGGGTAAATGCTTCATACCAACATCTTGAACCACTTGACTAGGATATATATAATTCCCTGCAACTCTACTTACAGGAACTGGTTTTTGCTCTTCTAGGTTTTTGATCTCTTTGATGAAAAGAAAAATGGTGTCATTGAATTTGATGAGTTTGTTCATGCACTGGATGTCTTCCATCCATATGCCCCTATAGATGATAAAATTGATTGTAAGTCTTACTGCTATAACAGGCAATGCTAAATGTTGTGTGTCTTTCTTGTTATCTTATGTTTCTTGTTTGTTAATCACTTGCAGTTGCATTTAGGCTCTATGATCTGAGACAAACCGGGTTCATTGAGCGAGAAGAAGTGAGTCTTGTACTATTTTTTACTGTCTAAGTCTCCGAGGAAATTTATGTTTTTTTGGGTACTTACGATTCGATACCTTGTGTGAATGCAGACACGATATTATTTAAACTAAGTGGCCTCTGTTTGGTTTCAGGTTAAGCAAATGGTGATTGCCATAATGATGGAATCTGACTTGAAATTGTCAGATGATCTTCTTGAGTCTATCATTGATAAGGTAAGCACTACGTAGTTGTGTAAGTTTGGATGTTGTTTTACTGGGTGGTAATCAGAGCTGGTGGAGAATGTAGTACTCACGGCATCTTCAATTGACTTGCAGACATTTGCGGACGCTGATGCTGACAAAGATGGTAAAATTAACAAAGAAGACTGGAAGGCTTTTGTGCTTCGACATCCAACCCTTTTGAAAAACATGACTCTACCTTATTTGAAGTATGTAACTTGCCTGTGTCTCTTTAGATGCTATCCTATTTTGGGGCAGATCACAAGTAGCATTGCTGGGAAGGGGAGACATCCGAGTGTCGGCACGCTGGGATGGCCGCATCACAAGATTATCCATTTGGTTTGAACATTTAAAGCGCTACGAGCGCAGCTATCTCCTTCAATTCAAAGCCTTTGTACAGTGAGAGTGTAGTATTTTTTTAGTGAATTTGAACATACCAGTGTTTGTAAAAATTTACGGTGCTTCCTGTTAATAGATTTATTAAAGTTACTAAATTCTGTAAAAGATCATTAAACTTTTGTTTAACTAAGGAACACAGGGCAGAGCAATGTAAGGACCGGCCATGAAGTTTGGGGCCCATATTAAGCTACCTACCGTCGTATCCCAATTACATTGATACACATGCAAAAGAATTACTACAAATCATCAATAAAAATTTCATTTTTATTTCTATGTTTGAATCTTATTAATAACAAATTTCAGAACCAATGAATTGTGACACAACATAATTTGTACGAGTAACTTAAACATTGAAAACAGATTAAGAAAATTCTACTCTCAAGCAAGAATCGAATAGCAGAGTATGGAAAAAGTAGAAGGGCATGCCTAAAATCCAAACTTGCATACCTCCAAGTCCAAACATTCTTCTTTTTTCTGATCCATTCGATCCTTTACTGATGCAGAGAATCCTCCACTTTGAACAAAAACAAAAAAAGAAGAATCCTCCACTGGCCTTGAAACTTGAAAAGAAGTTAGAACTTCCATACAACGAAGATGTAATTGTTATGGTATCTCAAGGCAACCATACACTATCATGATATAATAAGTAATCTCAGTGCTAAACTACTGATAAGCATACATACGGCAAACAAGTAACCAGATACACAAACTGAAGTGACCAAAAAAAAAACCACAAGGAGATCATTCTTTGAAGCTTTCAGAGGCTCTACGATGCAATTTTTGTCCACAACATTATCCACCAATAGAAACTCATACAATTTGTACACTCCACCACAATGGAGATTTGTAATACAAATTCAGCTTCACAAAAACCTTTAAGAGAATCTGGCCAAACAAACCATAGCAAAATTTAATGGTTTATGTGATAGACGTTAACTCTGTAGCATTCGGATTTAAATCACTATGCTGAGTAGAAGTTGTTCCCTCCTGCTCTTCAAGAACAATTTCTGGTTCAATTTGATTTGGTTTGCTTGATCTTGATGGCCTTCTGAGGCAGAGACAGTTAGTGTTTGGTGAAGATTGAACCGCAGCTATTCCATGAACACCATCTTCTTTTCTGCTTTTCTTGTAAGCATGCCAAGTCTTGTCTTGTTGATCATACGCTCTTAGTACTTGACGAATTCTTGTCCAAAATGAGGCTTTTGAATCAACGCATGTCAAGATGTGGCTATGCTCATAGAGGAACATGGCTGCAAAGATGAGGAGAGCTAACGATGAAGCAACACCAGCAACAATGAAGAGGCCCCAAAAGCTTTCAAGGCTAAGAGTGTCGTAAGAGCTCGCAGTGTTGGGGTTTGAACAACTTTCTGTTTTCTTGAACCACTTGTCCTCGATGGCCTTCATTTTATCTCCCTCTTGCACTTGAGTGATTGCTGTTGAAACATCACGCGTGAGAAGTGAACCTTTTTGGAAGACCTGCAGGTCACTCAAAAAGAAGAGAAAAGAAAAAGGAAAATCCCAGATCAGAAAACATGTAATAAACTAAACGGGAGAAAGAAAGCCAGAGAGAAAAACAGCAAGTGATCAACTTACAAGGGCAAAACCATCGGCTTTAAATGTTGGCTCGACCAGGGTATATTTCAAGCAATTGGTTGCAAGAAAAAGTTTCATGTAGGGTGTTTCATCAAAAGCAGCAGAAATACCTCCATTTTCATTCCCGTTTTGAAGAAGTTTATCTAATTCTTCTGCGGAATTATAGGTCCTAAGTTTATCGTCCTTAAACCCTAGCTTACTCAAAATCCCATAAATAAAATAGCCTTCTTGGTAACCAACGTTGTCCCCATTCTTCAAGAGAAGGTTCACATCAGTAACTATTGGTTGGAGCTGTTGAATTGTTAAGATTGATGATAAACTGGCAGTGTAGCTTTGAGTCAGTACCAGGACAACAAAGCACCATATGATCACTACAAACCTACCCAAGTTGCTCACTACTTGTTCCCCTGTTAGAAAAACTCAAAAGAAAACAGAAATGAGTCATAAAATACGTAAACAGTAAGCGAAGCTCATTTTACCATTTGGGTTTTGAGTTTTAAGGCATAGACATAAATTATATACATAATAGAAAGCGTGGAACTTACGGTGTGCAAAAACCATGGTTGAGAAGGCGAACCAAAAGCTTGTGCCAATTTGGTGATGTGGAGGCCCACGAAAGTCCTCGTTTATCCGGTGTTCAAGAAACCAGACCACAAAACCAATGAATATGAAAAAACAGCCAATTGTAACCCAGAGATCCCACGTCAAAGGCTTCAAGAACACCCATGTGTTTTTACCACCATCATTGCCTTTGAGGGGGACGACCATTGATATCCCAGATTCTGTGAATGGCAATGTAAAGTCAACGTACAAGGATCTGTTTGCTCTAATAGTTATGTCTCCAACTGCAGCATCGTAGTTCTGCCAAGTAAAAATGGCAATGTGTCAGTGAAGAAATTGGATAATTTTCCTATAATAAAAAGTGAATATCAGCAAAAAAGAAAAAAGAGAGAGCAGAGAATGCGAGGTCTACCCCAAGAAACACTTGATTGATCAAATCATTGTAACTGCCAGCGCTCCGCCCATTAGGATTTGCAAAGGGATAAAACTCGTAAGGAACAGGATATGGTAATGCTTTTATTACAGCGTCAAAGACTTCTATGCAGTATCCACCATTGACCTTGGCTGTGTTAGTGCTAGGATCATATACCACACTTACTAATTCTTCAAACCCTTGCTTCAACGGGACGAGGACTTTTAAGGTCCCGTTCGTGCGAATCTGCCAGCCCCTTGGTGCCAAGATGGTGTCTCCAGGCCATATAACAGGTCCAAGACTGGCATTAGAAGTAGAGTATCTGTTTGTGTTTCTGTTCGAATTTATGTTTCTCACAAGTCCATTTTGGGGTGTCCAATATCCAATTCCTCTTTCCCCATTATCGTTCACATTAACTACCTGAAAAGTTGATGATTGTAGTTGCCCATTAATAAGACTGAAATCTCCTGAAAGGCCTTTGAATCTTGTACCTGATAGCTCTCGGACAAGTTCAGGACCGCCTTGAGAGACCTCTAAGCTTCCCAAATCAGTGGAATTATGAGAACTGTTCATCTTTTGGAAGCTGAAGTTTGTACCCCCGACCTTCTCAACCGCCAGGGCTAATGCCCAAGCAGCATCATAAGCCCATAGTCCAAAAACATCCAATTTAACGTTAAGGATAGTTGGATTGTCTTGTTGGAATTTTGTTTGCCATCTAGCTCTAAAATTTTCAAGTTCTTTTGTGTTTGGAACATTAGTCTTTATACCTAACACCCCTTGCATGTTATCTATGTCGACAGAAGAACTGGAGGAACTAAAAGAGTTAGTCATCCCATTCGTTGTTATCCAAACATTACCCTCCTCCATCATGCCAATGTCTCTTGCCTTGGCAAAAAACCGAGAGCCAAGTGAAGGCGACATGTGCACTATGAAGACCCTGGTTTGCATTGACATCAACCTGTGAAGCTCTTCAATAATTTGGTCATCAGTGGCCATTGAAGGAATGAGACTCCAATAAGGGATACCAGCACCAACTTCTTGCAAAGCAGTAGTCAGGTAAGGTGTTAGTCCCTCCCCGAACTCATTGTCGATGCTGACGGGCACTGCTTCTCTCCAACCAAACGCTTGGATGAGGGCACCAATGGCTCTAACTTGAGATGAGTCATTCTGTGCAATTCGGAAAAAATATGAACCCCGGAGAGAAGGGCTTGTTGCTGAAAATGAGATTATAGGCACCTGAGCTTGATCACCAAGATCAATTACAAAGTTGGCTTGCATTGATGATTCTAGCCCTATGATGGCTTGCACTTCAACATTCTTTATTAAGTCCAGAGCTGTTTTAAAGATGAGAGTTTTAAGTTAAGTTACACGCTAATGCAATTTTAATTCTTTGTGCATCAATTGATGATTCGTTATGAATCCGATGAAGTATTACTAACATGACTCTAATCTAAGCCGCTTTTCCCAGCAAGTACTTCAACAAGATATGATACATTTAACATGCTAACTAATAAATAATAAAAAAGAAATTGATGGTTAAAAAATTCTCTGGTGAAACAAAAAGCAAAACATTAAAAAGAGAAGATCAATACCTGCATCAGCTGCCACAACAACATCTCTCGCTGAGTCCCTTGTGTGCAGGACCAGTCTAGTATTGTAGTTAGAATGAGAGGCATAGAAGTCAGAGAGGGCCATGTTGATGCAGCTCAACCGTATTATCCCAAATCGGGTATCTAAGTCAAGAACCACACCCACATTGATTGGGATGGTTGTGTTTAGTGCCATGACCAAGAAAATCCTAAAGAATAGGAAGAGAAGAAAAACAGGGTTAGGAGGACACTTGGTCATGTTTGAATATCTTGAAAGGTTTGCAACTCAAGGCATGAGGAAGAAGAAACTTGTTTATAAATGGTGAATGGTAGCAGGATTTCGAATGGCAAAATACTTGGTTTGGTTCCCCATGGTAAATGGGAGGAAAGAGGAAATAACTTTCTCAAACTGCTGATTGCTGATGAGGGAATAGGAAAGAGTGATTTCCTCCCCCGTTCCTAAGAGAACAAGTTTTCATGGTTCTTTGAATATAAGAAAAGAAACCGGTATTTTAGATTGGAAATGTGCCTTACTGAATTATTTTTCTGAAGAGTAGCAAACTGGATTATTATAGTAATCATAGAAGTAAAAGGAGAACGATGGTGACTTCAGTGAGTCAATGGCAGAGTTTCTTCGTACTTACATCATTTCCTCTCTTGACCCAAAATGTCAACCAAACTGTCCTTCTCAAAAGCAGGAGACTTGGTCACGAATCATATGACCTGCTTCAGTGACAATTTGACAAAACTAATTAATAAGCTCAATGCAACATTTAATATGTATTAGTTGTTTTCCTTCGCAAATAGGTTCATACCAGAACCTTCATTTCACAATACAGTATGAAAAGCTGAGAGGAAGACCATATCAAAGCTCGAACCCAAGCCAACTGGGCCCCCACTCTACCAACGAGAAAGGCTTTTAGGATTTGGGGGCTTCTGCACTGGGGGAGGGGAGAAATCCTACGAATACCTTATCAGAAAGGTAATATGACTTCTAGTTTTTGCTCAGTCAGTTGTAATTGGAAATGGTAAAAAATGTGATTAACTGTTATCAGCACAATGTGAACTAGCTTGACTTTTCATGAAGTTTCAGGTTTTATGGGGATGAAAGCCAAACAACTCAAGTTTCAACTCTTTTGGTACCTTCACCTCCAATCCATCCCCCAGCTCCAAACATAGTCGCTTCGGGCAGCGTTGAAGACGATTTGCTCAAGCTATGCACACATTGCCCACCCTTATGTAACTGTCTGCAGGAGAGGAGAAGCCTTCAGGAAGGGGAAAAGCCACATCAACTCCAAAGCAGGGCTAGGTTTCTTGGCATTCTTTGCATCTGCAAATTCAAACAAAATACCAAAAAGATACATGGCATTACAAATTTAAGTTAATTACATCCTAAAGTAATGAATTTAATTTTTTGTTTTAGATACACGAAAGAGCCAGAAGGGCTAGGTTTCTTTCTTGGCATTCATGGGTAAGGGAGCATATCAATAACAAATTTTAGAATTTTACACCTTAAAAAACAAATTCTAGAACCGATGAATTGTGAATAAACTAGTAGTTTTGTCACAGGTAAGCTAGTTTTAACACACAACAGAGAATTGGTACGATTAGCCTAAACATTAAGATCTGATTAAGAAGATTTTCTACTCTCTGAGTCTCATCTCAAGCAAGAATCGATAATAGCAGAGTATGGAAAAAGTAGAAGGGCAAGGCTAAAATGCAAACTTGCGTACCTCCAATTCCAAACATTCCTCTTGTTTCTGATCCGTTCGATCCTTTATTGAGGCAGAGCAGTCAGATTGAAAAACAAGCAGGATGGAGAAAGGACTCCACTGGCGAAGAGGAGAAGAAATTGCATGCAACATGTATTCTACTGTGGCGATATCCATGACAATCATGCACTGCTATTTCAATGTAGATAGATTACAAGCAATATTAGAGGAGAGGGGATTCGGACGCCGGACCTTCTGTGAGAAAGGCAATTCAAGCACTGGACCTCTTGTGCTTGGATAACTGCTCCTACCCTAGTATTTTTGTGAAGTGAGTTTATGAGTTTTCAATTGACCATTTCTCAGAAATAAAAATCTAAAATTACCACTCTCTCCCCTAGTTGTCATTATCTCGCCTTGAGAGGCATCTAGCTTTTGCTGTTATCGCCTCCAAACCACGCCACATGCGCAGTATTCCCCATATTATCATTCATACCCTACGCTTCCCAAAATTAGTCTTCGTCTTCCTCTCTCACAGCTGGTTGTAAACCTCGATTAGTGATTACTAATTATGTATCTTGTTAATAGATTCATTAAAGTTACTAAATCATGTATAAAAATCAAAATTAGGCAATGTAAGACATTTAAGACATTTTATTTATGCTACCGTCATATCTTATATAAGTTAGGCTCGTTACGAGTCCTAACCAAGAAACATCAAAACCACTGCTGCATGCATACATCTTATATACTACACAATAAAGATTTAAACTACAAATTAAGCTTCAAACAAACCACAGCAAGATTCCATGGTTTATGTCATAGCCGTTAACTAGATAGCACATTCAATTTCTTGGGTTGCTTGAACATTCGGATTCAACTCACTATGCTGAGTACAAGTTGTTCCTTCCTCTTCAAGAACGATTTCTGGTACAATCTTATTTGGGTGCCTTGATCTTGATGGCCTTCTGAGGCAGAGACAGTTGGTGTTCGGTGAAGATTCAACCGCAGCGATTCCTTGAACATCTTTTTTGCTTTTCTTGCCTTCTTGATCATATGCTCTTAGTACTTCACGGATTCTTGTCCGAAATGAGGCTTTTGAATCAACGCATGTCAAGATGTGGCCATGCTCATAGAGGAACATAGCTACATATATGAGGAGAGATAGTGATGAAGCAACACCAGCAACAATGAAGAGGCCCCAGAAGCTATCAAGGCTAAGAGTGTCATAAGAGCCAGCGGTGTTGGGGTTTGAACAGCTTGCTTTTTTCTTGAACCACTTGGCCTCGATGGCCTTCATTTTATCTCCCTCGTGCACTTGAGTGATTGCCGTTGAAACATCTAGTGTCAGAAGTGAACCTTTTTGGAAGACCTGCAGGTCAAAAAGAGAAGAAGAAAAAAAATCCCACATCAGGAAACACGTATTAAACGAGAGAAAGCCAGAGAGGCTCTGATAGAGAAAGAGAAAAACAGCAAGTGATCAACTTACAAAGGCAAAACCATCGGCTTTGAATGTTGGCTCAACAAGGGTATATTTTGAGCAATAGGTTGCAAGAAAAAGTTTCATGTAGGGGGTTTCATCAAACGCTACAGAAATACCTCCATTTTCATTCCCGTTTCGAAGAAGTTCATCCAATTCTTCTGCGGACCTATAAGTTCTAAGTTTATCATCCTGAAATCCTAGCTGGCTCAAAATCTCATAAATAAAAGAACCTGCTTGGTAGCCAACATTGTCCCCATTCTTCAAGAGAAGATTCACATCAGTAACTATTGGTTGGAGCTGTTGAATTGTTAAGATTGATGATAAACTGGCAGTGTAGCTTTGAGTCAGTACGAGGACAACAAAGCACCATATGATCACTACAAACCTACCCAAGTTGCTCACTACTCGTTCCCCTGTTAGAAAAACTCAAAAGAAAACAGAAATGGACGGCCATGAGTCATAGAATATGTAAACAGTACACAAAGCTCATTTTTCCAATTGGGTTTTGAGTAGTTTTGGTTAGTTGGACAAGTGGTTCTACAAAGCATTAATCACCACTAAAGACTAGAAAATAGTTTAACATGAAGGGAGCTTACGGTGTGCAAAAACCATGGTTGAGAAGGCGAACCAAAAGCTTGTGCCAATTTGGTGATGTGGAGACCCACGAAAGTCTTCGTTTATCGGATGTTCAAGAAACCAGACCACAAAACCAATGAATATGAAAAAACCGCAGCTTGTAACCCAAAGATCCCATGTCAAAGGCTTCAAGAACACCCATGTGCTTTTAGCGTCATGTTTGCCTTTGATAGGCACCACCATTGATATTCCAGATTCTGTGAATGGCAATGTGAAGTCAACATACAAGGATCTGTTTGCTCTAATAGTTATGTCTCCAACTGCTGCATCGTAGTTCTGTCAAGTGAAAATGCCAATGTTTCAGTGAAGACATTGGATAATTTTGCTAAGAATAAAATGTGAAATCAGCAAGAAAAAAAGTTATACCCCAAGAAACACTTGATTGACCAAATCATTGTACCGGCCAGCAATCTTCCCATTAGGTTTTGCAAAGGGATAAAACTCATAAGGAACATGATATGGTAATGCTTTTATTACAGCGTCAAAGACTTCTATGCAGTATCCAGCGACCTTGGTTGTGTTAGTGCTAAAATCATGTCTCACAGTTACAAATTCTTCAAACCCTGCCTTCACCGGGACCAGAACTTTTATGGTCCCTTTCGGGTTAATCTGCCAGCCCCTTGGAGCCAAGGTGGTGTCTCCAGGCCATATAATAGGTCCAAGACTGGCATTAGAAGTAGAGTATCTGCTTGTGTTTCTAGCTAGTTGAAATTATGTTCCTCACAAGTCCATTTTGGGGTGTCCAATATCCAATTCCTCTTTCCCCATTATCGTTCACATTAACTACCTGAAAAGTTGATGATTGTAGTTGCCCATTAATAAGACTGAAATCTCCTGAAATGCCTCTGAATCTTGTACTTGATAGCTCTCGGACAAGTTCAGGACCGCCTTGAGAGACCTCTAAGCTTCCCAGATCAGTGGAATTATGAGAACTGTTCATCTTTTGGAAGCTGAAGTTTGTACCCCCAACCTTCTCAACTGCCAGGGCTAATGCCCAAGCAGCATCATAAGCCCAAAGTCCAAAAACATCCAATTTAACGTTAAGGATAGTTGGATTGTCTTGTTGGAATTTGGTTTGCCATCTAGCTCTAAAATTTTCAAGCTCTTTTGTGTTTGGAACATAAGTCTTTAAACCTAACACCCCTTGCATGTTATCTATGTCGACAGAAGAGCTGGAGGTACTAAAAGAGTTAGCCATCCCATTCGTCGTTATCCAAACATTACCTTCCTCCATCATGCCAATGTCTTTTGCCTTGGCAAAAAACCGAGAGCCTAGAGAAGGCAACATGTGCACTATGAAGACCCTGGTTTGCATTGACATCAACCTGTACAGCTCTGCAACAATTTGGTCATCAGTAGCCTTTGAAGGAATGACACTCCAATAAGGGGTACGGGCACCTACTTCTTGCAAAGCAGTAGTCAGGTAAGGTATCACTCCCTCCCCGAACTCATCGTCCACGCTGATGGGCACTGCCTCACTCCAACCAAAGGCTTGGATGATGGTACTTATGGCTCTAACCTGAGATGAGTCATTCTGTGCAATTCGGAAAAAATATGAACCCCGAAGAGAAGGGCTTGTTGCTGAAAATGAGATTATGGGCACCTGAGCTTTCTCTCCAAGATCAATTACAAAGTTGGCTTGCTTTGATGATTTTAGCCCTATGATGGCTTGCACTTCAACATTCTTTATTAAGTCTAGCGCTGTTTCAAAGGTGAGAGTTTTAAGTTAAGTTACACTCTGATGATATTTTAATTCTTTGTGTATCAATTAATGATTCGTTACGAATCCGATGACGTATTACAAGCATGACTCTAATCTAAGCCGCTTTTTCCCAGCAAGTACTTCAACAAGATATGATACCTTTAACATGCTAATAAATAATAAAAAAGAAATTGATGGTTCAAAAATATTTGGATGAAACAAAAAGCAAAACATTAAAAAGAGAAGATCAATAGAGAGGGAACCTGCATCAGCTGCAACAACAACATCTCTCGTGGAGTCCCTTGTGTGCAGGACCAGTCTAGTATTGTAGTTAGAATGAGAGGCATAGAAGTCAGAGAGGGCCATGTTGATGCAGCTCAACCCTATTTTCCCTAACCGGGAATCTAAGTCAAGAACCACCCCCACATTGATTGGGATGGTTGTGTTTTGTGCCATGGCCAAGAAAATCCTAAAGAATAGTAAGAGAAGAAAAACAGGGTAGGGAGGACACTTGACCATGTTATCTTGGTCTTGGAAGGTTTGCAGCTCAAGGCATGAGAAGATGCTTGTTTATAAATGGTGAATAGTAGCAGGATTTTGAATGGCAGAATACTTGGTTCCCCAATGGTAAATGGGACGAAAGAGGAAGGAACTTTCTCAAACTGCTGACTGTTGAATAGGGAATAGGAAAAAGTAGTTTCCTCTCCCCATTCCTTGGAGAACAAGTTTTCATGATTCTTTGAATATAAGAAAATAAACCAGTATTTTTCTGAATTGTAGCAAACTGGATTATTATCGTAATCACACAAGTAAAAGGAGAATAATGGTGACTTCAGTGAGTCAATGCCAGAGTTTCTTCGTACCTACATCGTTTCCTCTCTCGACGGGAACTGTCAACCAAACTGTCCTTCTCTAAAGCAGGAGACTTGGTCACTCACGAGTCATATGAGCTGCTTCAGTGACAAAACTAATTAATAGGCTGACTGCAACATCGTTGTCTAAGAATTTTCAAAGAGAATAACTTCATATTCAAGAATCTTCATTTCACAATACAGTATGAAAAGCTGAAACAAATGGGATTGCAATAAATATTCTTTTAGGGCCTTGGGCCCCCACTCTGCACTGGGGATAGTGGAAGCATCAGGGAGAGAAAGAGGGAAGAAATTTCATGCAACATGTATTCTACTGTGTCTGTGTCGATACAATCATACACTGCGCTATTTCAATGTAAAAAATTAAAGTGCAAGTCATGCATTTTATACAAGCGATATTGAAAAAGAGTGGATTCGAACACTTGAAGTTGTGTGTGCATGAATAACTGCTTTTGATTACTTGAGCTACAAGTCCTTATCCTTGTGTGAAGTATGAAAAAGAGTGGATTCGAACACTTGAAGTTGTGTGTGCATGAATAACTGCTTTTGATTACTTGAGCTACAAGTCCTTATCCCCTGTGTGAAGTGAGTTTCTGAGTTTTTAATTTACCATTTCTCAAAAATAAAAATCTAAAATTACCACTTTCTCCCTGTCAGAAAGGCATCTAGCTTTTGCTGTTATCTCCTCCAAACCCCGCCACGTGCACAATATTCCCCATATCATTCATTCATACCGCACGCCTTCCCAAAATCAGTCTTCATCTTCCTTCTCTCACAGCTGGTTGTAAACCTCGATCAGTGATTAGAGATACAGCAATGGCAGACAAGCCAAGCCGAGCTGTGGTTTTGTACGGAGATGGGTTGGTCCGTTTCGTCGACCCATCACACATCCATCTCCACTCTCTCGCTTCCAAAGCTTCCTGTGGCTTCTTGAGCCTCCCCATTGCCCCTCCCACAGGTTTTAACTCTTTCAATGTCTCTTGCTCTCTCTGGAAATTTTTCTATTTTAATAGATAATTTAATTATTAATAATATGAGGCTTGCTTTCTTCTCAAGTGAACTCTACGGGTTCGATCAAGTTTGTTAATTTGCCTTTATGGGTTCGATCAAGTTTGTTGATTTGTCATATGCGACCTGAAACGCAATTCAAATCCACTTCTTTTTGGTATTTGGGTGTTCGAAAAATCGGCCTAGGCCGCGCCTAGGCGCTAGGCGGACCCTAGGCGCTAGGCGGACGATTTCACTCTAGGCGCCCGCCTAGGCGGCCTGGGCGGGTCGGGTCCTTTTTTTTTCCTGACTTAAAAGAAACCCTCACGCGGCCTCGCTCTCCTCTGAGCGGTCGCCTGCTTCTCTCTCTCTCTCTCTCCATCCCTCTCTCCTCTGAGGGTTCATTTTGGCATGCTTTTACTCCTTTCCTTTCCCACTTCGAAGCACCGGGATTTACTTGAATTTAGATTGCAGAAAGCGAGGATGAGAGAATAGTCAGAGAGTTTGCATTACTGCTGGATGCATATGAAGCTTACCATGATACAGTGAGATCCACATCTTTGGTTACCATATCAGAAAGGTAATATAACTTTTGGGTTTCACTCAGTCTGTTGTAATTGGAAATGTTCAAAAAAAAAGTTTTGAACTTTTAACAACCCAATGTCAAGTGACGTTTTTCATAATGCTTCAGGTTCATGGGGATGAAAGCTGCGATATTTACAAACAATGCAAGTTTGAAATCTTTTGGTACCAAACTTGGTTTCAGCGTGTTCCAAATCGATGCTCTTTATATAAACAGTCCAGCCGGTGCTGAACCGCCAGTTGATTTTGGGGCATCTGAGTTACTTAAGTTGCTTGGGTTTCCAGCAGGGAAGACAGTGGAGACGAGCCAGTATGATTTAGTTTTTGTGCATGTTGGGGCTGGTGAGGTGAATGTTGAGAAAGACAAGGCTACTGATGATTTGGGATATCTCAATGCTTTGGTTGGTGCTATAACGCAAATAGCCCAACCTGGATCTGAAATCGGTGCCCGTTTGCACTCGTCTGTTTTGATGAGCTATGGGAAGGTCTCAGAAAAGGATGATCCCAACTTGTCAGTCTCATTTAGAAAAGATGACGAAAAATCTGATCTTTCAAAGCTTGTTCCTCGTCAAAGTTACACCATGAAAGGATCTCAACCACGAAAGGATGTTAGGTGAGTAAAAACTTGGTGGTTTCTTGCACACTTGAAATACCTTTAATAACTCCAGCTATCCTTTGTGAACAGGCACCATTGCCCAATGTTAATTGCTCAGTGGCAATATGCAGTAACCCGCAAGGATATGGCTGAGACATTCTCATTTAAGGATTTCAAGGAGGTACAATTTGAGATTATCAGATATTGAGTTTACTGCATGGCACATGCTAGAAATTGTTAAGAGATTTACTGATATAGCTGACTCCAGAGTTTATCTTCTCTACTGTACTAGCCTAGCTAGGAGCTGATACATTATCTGGTCATAAGGCTCATGCATGTTTACAAATGAATTATGAAATTTGTTCTTTTCTATGCAGTACGGTGGAAATCTTGTGATACCAGCGGATAGGTTTCTGCACGAAGTGGCCTTCAAGCTTTGGAAGGCCCCGAAATACGGAGCTTGAGAAGGCAAGTTTATACAAGACAGTGTAAGCAAGGAAGCTAAACCTGAGGAGCAGAGCATCCCGTTGCTTATCTGAAATGTTTTCTTAAGCATTTCTCAACTTTAACTTGCCTTACCGGACCCAACATGTAATAAGATTAATCTGTATGTGACCTCAAACACCGCTCATGTTTGGCATTCCCCACAGCAAATTGGGGATAGAAAGTTTTGTTCGTTTTGATATTTAATGATGACTCTGGAAATTAGAGAATTTCATCTGACAAATGGGCCAGTTATGAACGCTCAAGTTAATCTTCCATTACAATAGATGAAGACCACTTGCAATACATAGTTTTCCATAACCTAAATTCAATTGAAAGAACCTAAAAACTCCCCAAAATGAGAAACAAGACCATGCCATATGGGCATTGAAGGTTTACCCATTTTACAATTTGGTATGGCTGCAACAGAGGTCCCCTGTCTCATTCTGAATCATAAATCGAGCATGTTAGAGAGGGTACAAAGTCAATAGCTTTCTAAATCAATCAACTATAGTTGAATAAGTTGACTCAGCTTGAAATCAGAAACAATATTCACAGAAAAACCTATAGCAAAATTGTATCAGGAACTACAGAGTCATACAGAGGAACTTTACTACATAACATCTGTTCACGCCTTCAAGCTGTTAGTGTGAAAACAGGAACTAGCACTCTAACAAGGTCTTGAAACAATAATTGCCCAGTAGAAACCACACCAAGAGGAGGAGAGAGAAAGAGAGAAGCGCAACCAAGAAAGGCCATCCAACCATGAAAACACCTAGAGAGAGCACCAATAGAAAAGGGAGGAACGACCTCACGACGGACATGGCGTCAACCCATTGCCCCTTGAGCAGTACTAGGCCTGCCACATTGATCATGTTCCAACTCATTGATCCACCATAGAATATCCGATTCAGACAGTTGGCTACGAAAGAATGGCAGTTGCAAGTGAAAAGGTTGTAGGTTTTGTGTTCAAAGTACCGTGAACTTGACCGCAGGGCATCATCCCATGTGATTGCCGTCCCAAACTCTGCATGCTTGTAGCCACTCTTGCAAGTGTGGCCACCCAGATTCGTGGCGAAACAACACTGTTTTGACATTTCAGATTCCATTACAAAATTGTCAAAGGACCAACTGGTTAAGAAGTCAATTCTAGTTCTTTCTTCCACAGTAACAAGCAAATAGACAAATGCATGATTTGGCAACATTTCTAATTGCTTGTTCATCTAAGCAAGTACTTTTAAGATGCACTTAAATGCCTTTCACAAACAATTTTAGATCAAACTAATGAATACCCTTAAGAGTTTGTGTGAGCACACAAGAATTTAGAGAGCCAGGAGGAAGGGGGAGGGAGCACAAAATTATTAAACAATATGGCGAATGTGAGAACAACATGACACAGTACCTGTGTTCTATCAAGCTGTAGATATCTGGCTACAGCACCAAATGCAAAATCATCGGCATTCACAAAATTGGAACCTGAGAAATCTAAAATAGCTCCATCCTCCCTGCAAATGCCAACATGTCCAATGAATGGTGCCAACCAAGAGACTATTGGGAGAGGAGTCCAAACCAAACAACAGGGAAACTTTGCCTTCTTTGGATCAATTTCATCAAGAGGCCACAGCTCATGGTCGATACTCTGTGTAGACCTCATATGCTCAATGTCATAAGCTTCTTTTAGCTCCATTACAGGAAATCTAATGTGCTGCATATGCTTTGTTTAAAATTTTATGGAACTTCAGACTAATTTCGTCTCCCAATACAATAAGCAAATCAGTTCAATCGGCCATAAACAAAATGCAAAGCCTTCTTTAAAAAGAATCAGAAAGATTAGTTAGTCTATGATACATAAACTAAAAAATGAAAGATTACTGTTCGCTTTAACGGTTTGATTTTTACTTCCTGAAAAATACATTGCAGGCCGAAAATACCCAAGTCTTAAAATTTAGCTCAGAAAAGGAAACATCTGCTCCAGCAATGCAACTTTAAGCTGAGAAACACTGAATCACATCAATTATGTTTACTTTGAGGAAATGGGTGGCTTAAAATTCCAATCTTTAAGACTTTCCAAAGATTATCTTGCTAGCAGACAATACCCAAATGGGCTTTCCATAAAATTTGTTGATACATTGAAAGAAAACAAGATCCAAACCACATATAATGCATTTGGGTCAGCAAAGATTAGAGCTTTGAGCAAAGATCTTATGCTACTGACCTGCAGAGGATGGTGATAGCTGAGGAAAATATGAGACCGCCCCAGTAAGGTAAAAGTCGGTGACAAGGAACCGGAAGAAGTTGAAGAGAAGGAGAAAGAGAGAGAATAAGAATAATAATAAGAAGAAGAAGAAGAAGAAGAGCTATTCTTATTGGTCTTGTTATTCTTCATTGTTGTCGAGACACAATAACTGGTTGATTATATTTTGACTGAAAAAATGAAGAAAAAAAAGGAAAACCGATCAAAATTTTAATATCTTTTCATTTTTTAATTTTTTGTTAAGACTTTCTTTTTCTCATTTTGGAAACGATGAAGGAGAAGGCGAAAACAGGGCAAAGGTGCATGAACCTCTCTGAGATTCAGCCCCTCAGTGGGCCCACCGCCTTCCTCACTTAATTGTCTTTGCCTCCTTCGCCATCTTTTTCTAACCTTTTTTATTCTCTCTTTCCGTCCTTAGAAAACGGTTGGCTTCGTTTGTTGTTGGGTTTGTAACTTACTTCATAAACTTACCCGCCAAAGTAGTTATGTTGTCTGTATGTAACTTCTCATCATAAAATGTAAGCAACCACATCAAATGTCCCGTGACCACTTGGGCCAGCGGTACTCGGTCTTCACTTTGTTAGAGAAGACTACGAGTTCAAATTTCATAGACGACGCATGTTTCTTTAAAGTGTCACTGAATTTTATTGCGAAAGAGTAACTTTTAAATTTACTGTTACATGGATTTTCGAATAACTTTCATTGTCATATAGGTTGATATGAAATGTTGAGGGGCAACAATCTTCACGATGGTTAAAGTCAAACTCAATGTTATTTTATTTTGATCAACTTTTGGGAAGACAGTACCACCACCAGCCAGCCTTGAGGTAGGGCCTCCTTTACTGGTGGGGATGGTAGGTTTCCAACCATTTGGGTGGCACCGACACTAGAAATTAGAATACTCATTAATTTAAGGGGTCATGTTAGGGAGACCAACTTAGGATACCAATTTGTGTACCAACTCTCTAATAGAGATGGAGCCCACCAATACAATGGGTCCCACGCTCTATTAGAGAGTTGGTACACAAGTTGGTCTCCCTAGCATTTTCCTACTTTAAGTTACCCAACTCCATTCTTGTGAGAAGCTTCTTTTTGGGACCAAGTTCTCAAAAGTTTGAACTTTAAGCTTGGGTGTGGAATAAGCCATTATGCATATAGTGTAAAAGTTGGTTTTTGTTTACCCAAGAATTGAATGTTTACTACAAGTAGCAGTTTACCTAACAAGGAAATATATTTATTTGAAGGATAATTCTAATTATATTACATGTAAAAGCTACGGTAATTTAAATACAAATCATCAAGAGAGATAGGCAAAACACATACAAATTCTTGTCCTATACCTTTTGACTTGTTTATCACTAACTATGGACAGAGCATATACATATCGCGTTGCAGTTGTTGAACGGCTGAGAATTAGGGAAGGCCAGCTTCGCCACAGAAGGCGTCAGGCTCGAATGATCTTGCAGATTCATCACTGTAAACACCATGTATAACCCTATTGCCAGCTTCTTCAGTTTGACCTCCTCCATCAATGGAAATGAGGAGCACAACGCATGAAAGTATGGCTGCCGCAAGGCATACCAGTGTGACCTTCAATCTGCCCAGCACAGGCTTAACCTGTTGAACAAAATCAAGGCAAAACAACCACCCAGTCATTTTCTTATCCAAAAAAAAGGATGTTTTGTCAGCAACAAGCTCTGATTTTCATTTTCTGGGAAAAATAAAGAAATCAATCTATCTGTGTAATGTCAATCACTCACAGAAAATGAACCAAGTAGCCGGTCACGAGCCAAAACTTCGGCAGTCTTCACCCACATCTGCCAAGGAAATCTCAGTCAAGCCTTAACTTTGAAAAGCCAAACTTCCAACTTCTAAAAGAAATTGCATTTCTGATTCTACAAAGGCAAGCTTAAAAAACCTATTTACCTGACCATCGTACCATCCAGTCTCTTCATCTGTAACCAGAAAGAAGAAGAGCAGAAAACCCCATCAGCAACTCAATATCAGTCGATGATTCAAAATCAAGAACACAGTTGAAACAGAGAGAGAAACAGAGCAATTACATTCAACAGTGGCTCTAAGCAAGCGATTGCCCACATAAGCCCAACCCAGGTACATCCTCACGACGGCAAGAGTGACCACAAGAAACCCACTTGAAACTGCGTACAGAGACTGCTTCAACGGCTCCGATTGGGCGCCCAAGGCACCGACCGAGGCAACCGGGAGGCCAACAAGCAGAGCAAAAGAAGACCCAGTTGCAATCAGTCGAGAGCAGTACTCTATGAGGTCGCCGGAGGCCCAGGAGAAGGGAAAGGAGGTCGACAGATTCTGGTACTCATTTATCGGCTGCTGCTCCGGCGGCACAGGGCACCCTGTTTCCGCCGGGCTGTTGCTTCCGTTTCTGAACGAGTACGACAGGGGTATTTTGGGAATTCTACTACAGTGGCGGCGGTGATACCTGAAGCTTGGTGTTGAAATGATTGGTGCGGAGGGAAAGAGGAGAGTCGGTGGAGATGGTTTTGGTGATGTGTACGGAACAGCAGAGGCCATGGCGGCACTGTGCAATGATCTCTCTGTTCTGAAACTCTGAACGGTTATTGGCCTCTTGCGCTCTCTCTCAATCCAATTCAGAGTTGACCAAAAAAAAAAATCCAATTCAGAGATATTTTTATTATTTAATTTTTAAAAAGAAATATTGGGGTTATTATTTTGATTTAAATTGAAGTTTATTTCAAGGGTGTACAAAGACAAATAATATTAGTTCTGGATTGCACATAAATTCTTCCTCTTTCTTCTTTCTTCCTCCAAATGTATTTACTCTTTTCACAATAACATATGCAGAGATCAGATGTTTACAATTTCCCAAATGAGATCTCCACAGTAGCAGAATTAAGAATTATTAGTTTCTTTCTTCCTTTCTTTTTCAATTTTTCTTCTTTTTTTTTCTACAATTTTTTTTCTTCTTACATGCAGATTTGATACAACCTACTATTACTACTACTACTAGAGAGACTGGTCTTCAATGGGACCTCCACTGCCCTTCTTATGCAGTCTAATAATTTAGGAGGGTTTTCCACTCTTCTGTTCCGTATAGGTTGTGCTGAGCCCCCACTTTGACTGAGCCAACACTACCAAATCCAGCATTCTCTTTTTCCTTCTTGCATTGAAGACAAAAACTTATATGCTGCCCTCGCTCTTCGAGACAAGGAACAGCTTCAACTTCAATTATTAACACGGTAAAGTTTTTCTTTTTTGGGGTTATTCAGTCGTTTGATTTGTAGAGTTTGTTCTTCCAACAAGGCGTTGAAGACGTCGGAGACGGACCATGAGTTGCGAGAACGAAGGCCGTAGATTTGGCTCTCTGCAAACGGAGCAAATCTGGATTAGCCAAGCTCAGTTATGGTATAAGTCATGCTGTTCAGGTTCAATTTCTAAGAAACTTGGCTCTCTACAGACTCCCTATTTTTGCCTAAAAGAAGTGTAGAACTTACCTTTGCCAACAATCACGTATTATCTCAGCAACCACTGGATCCATGTCCTCTGGAATTTCAAGACGCCTATTTTGGAATCCAACCGCTCCTACAACCTGCATTGGATTCAATCCTTTCCATGGGACGCAGCAAGTAGCCAGTTCCCATAAGATGACACCAAAACTGTACACATCACACCTGCAAGCAAGCAACAAGCAAAGCTTATTGTAATGGTAACCTCCAGAACATAAAATTCCCAAAATGCATCCACCTTCTGGCAACTTACTTCTCATTAGCTGGTTCATTCCTTAAAACTTCCGGTGCCATCCACTCGGGCTGCACTCCAATAGTATGCAATGAGTACATAAAACAAAAGGGTACGTAAGTTTCTATTCTTGTAAAAGATCTTTTTTATGAGATATTGATCATATGATAGGGTATTCAACTTTGTTTTCAAGATTCACATTGAACAAATATTACCGTCCCAGCAGTAGACTTCGAAGACAGAAAAGTATGGTGCTTCGTACGTGACAACCCGAAGTCACAAACCTGCACCACAACATAAACAAGATGTTTGAGAAAGAATAATCAATTTTTCTCCCACCAATAGAGATATCAATATCAATCTATCTAGATTGTAAGAGGAAAAAATATAAATGACTAAAAAAAGCATTATCAGGGAAGAACTTAAAACGCAAGTGGTGGTTTTGAGTTGACCTTCACATTCCAATTCTTATCAACAAGGAGATTTGGAGACTTCAGGTCTCGATGCACAACAGTAGGATGGCTAGTATGCAGGTAATTCATTCCTTTGGCCTGCATAAATTCAGGGAGCACTGATTAAGAAATCAAAAAGAAACCAGAAAGGAAAAACTACAAAGAAATAAGAAAAAAATCTGGTTTACCACATCAAAAGCCATTCGCATTCGCCTCTTTTCATCAAGTTGAGAATTGGGACGATGCAGCAATCTATATAAACTCCCCCTGTGTACCAAGTGAATGATTAAGGAACAAAACAAGAGAATAAGATTAAACAGATAACTATAGACTCAATGTCAAGGAAACAGGGTTGTGGATGTATAGTTGGTTGGATGATGTTCCTGCCCCCGTAAAGGAATTTTTTGCTTGATAGACCTATTTTTGCCTAGTTACAGGCTTTCCTAGTTATCTTGGACTGCATGCATACACATCAGTTTTTTTTTCCTTCTACTTTGTTACTTTGTATTATTTAAATTACATATGGTCATTCAATTTCAGAAATATAACAAATCAGATAAAGGACAAGTAATAAGGAAATCAACCTGGGAAGAAACTCTGTCAGGATAGAGAAATGGGGAGGGCGAGTAACTGCCCCCATGAAAAGGACAACATTGGGATGTCTAAGTCTTAACATAATTTCTACCTGCATGAACAAACACCAAGAATCAACTATAATTAATACAAAACCAATGAATTTGAATTTTATGCTTATATATAATTGACAAATATGATATACAAACTCAAGTCTTGATGCTTACTTCACATTTAAACTGAACTAAAGCATCACCAGAAAAATCTTGATCCAAAAATTTTTTCACAGCTACTTCCTGTCATGCAAAAAGTCAACACAGACCGATAAACAATTTGTAATGATAGCAGTCAGAATTACCATAACAAGCCCCATGCCATCATCAACAACCAACATATGCCAATAAAAAACAGCATATCAAATATTGATGTTAACAAAAGTATCATCGTTGAAAGTACAGAAACTATCAACAAAATATTAAGAAAATATCGATGTTGAGAGAAACTTTGAGTGAAATATAATTTAAAAATTTGGGAAATGTTTTATCTACTATTAGTACTTGTCAAGGAGAGAAATTTCGAGGATATCATCGAAATTTCAAACCATGTCAACAACTGGCACTTCTACTTCAACAAGAAAACCAATAAGAAAAATGCAACCAATATGCTGATA